AGCAGTATAATGCTATCCAGAATGACAAATAACCCCAGGAATGAGTATCATACGGTCACTCGTAGCTTTCAGGTGGGTGAGAAGGTACTTGTCAAATCGTATCAACGTAAAAGGAAGTATGAACCAGGTGTCATAAAACGTCGACTCAGAAATGTACTGTACCTAGTCCGAAAAGGTGTCAGAAAATGTATAATACACATAAACTAAATGCAAAGAGACTACAGTACAGTGGTCTCAGAAAGCCGACTCCCATTTCAATTGCTCGTGGATTCGTCACGGAAAAGCCCTCAGGAGCTCGAATATAGAAGAGCTAAACGACGCAAGGGCGAATCAGTACAACCCTTGAGAGCGATGCACCGCAAGAGGAATGGGGCAACCAAGTTTCAGGTGGATCCGAGGAAAAAGTCTAACACAACAGACTTTAAAGGGAGGAGGTGTGATGAAGGACTACGGGTGAACTCGAGGAAGCTGTAGGAGGCTCAGAAAGGGCCGAAGATATTCCATCCAATCACCTTTTGGAAGAATGTTCTAGAATTCCTACGTGTAGCTTCCCGACTGGACAATGCTAATAACCCCCTGTATGCGGATTGGAAGACTGTAATGATGATTTCGTTCTTACTAAAAACTATAAGTACTTGACAATTTTGTACTATAATTGACACTGTCTGTGAATAATATTCCTTTCATTAATCTTCTGTCTTCTCATTGTGACTTGGAAGGGTTCTGGCGCTTTAGTGCCCACGTTATACGCGGTATATCAAGAACAACCCTCTAGATATAATAATAATCCAAAAGTGTATATGAGGAACAGGAATACTGTCCCATTTACCGTTATCGATAACAAATTCAATGAACGTGAGACGTGCGAGTTACTTAGTTGCCGGTTGAAATGCAATGCATAAGAGCTGCTGATTGACCTTGTTTTTCACAGTTCAAACTTTGAGGTGAATGAGGTCTGAATTTTTTGTTGATGCAAATATAATCTATCCGGTTCTCCGTGATGTTGTCCAGTGAGACCAGTGCAGCTTTGTGTGTGGGTTTATATGGAAATATCGTGCCGCCTATACGCAGTTTGTTGAATGCATATAGGTTCGAGAATCTCTCGCCAATTTCGTTTTTTTCTCCTAATCCCTATCGTCCCGTGATTTCTTCATAACCGTTGTTTTCCATCCTTACTTTGGAGTTCAAATCCCCCATCAGAATGGTCAGGTTCGTTCCTGAACATTTTGCAATAGTAGTTTGCAACTTCAAGTAGAACTGATGTTTATTGTCATCTTTCCACCTATGGTAGGTGCATAACATTGGATGACATTCCTTGTGATTCCCTCAGTTTGGGAAGGGCAGGAGGCCTTATGGCCTGTGTTAGTCCTGGCAATGGTGGTCTCTCATTTGGCACTAAGCAATTTGAAAACTGAAGTCAAGTCGTCTTTAGTTCTACAATATGACAGCGGGAAAAGGTTTAGCTTGGCCAGTCGAAATTCATACGGAAGCTTCGCTATTCCGGGAATCAGCTTAGTTGCCGTTCTGTTAAACATTTCCAGAAGCTCATTGTCTTCTGTATAACAGCCGGTTGTGCGGGACTTTGTCAAAAGCTTTGCTGAAATCAAGGAAGGCTACGTCTACAGGTAACTCCTGGTCCTTGAGAAAATACCAGCCTTCACGAGCCACCAATAAGTTAGTGATACAAGAGTAATTTATTCTGAAATCATGCTGCTTCCCTGAAAAATCCGGTTTTTATCGAGATACTTAAACAGCTCCTTCCGAATAATCTTTTCTAAGATTTTAACAACCACACTAGTTAGGCTAACGGGGCGGTAATTCTCAGGTTTGTGTTTCGTACCTGTTTTGAAGACAGGACTTACTATGGCGTTTTTCCAGTCTTTTGGTAAACAACCCTGGGTTACGGATAGGTAAAAGCTAATAGCTAAAGGGTTCGCAACGAAGTTAGATAATTCCTTCAGTAGCCTAGGATGTAATTCATCGGGCCCCGTGGATTTACCTATGTCAAGCTTATTTAGTAGACCAAAGACATCGAGTTCTTTAATGGTCACGCTATCCAGTGTATGTGTGGGGGGATCTGTATGCGCTGATGGGAAGGGTGCTTCTATGGTGTATACATTGCTAAAGTAGTTTGAGAACACTTGAGCCTTACCAAAGTCGTCCTCCACTAGTGACGCGACAGTACTGTCTCCCCATAGAGCAGGAATATTTCCTCTTCTCTTTGTCCTTTGGTTTATATAAGAATACGAACGTTTAGGACATTCTATGGATTCCTTAACAATCTTTTCCTCGGTCCCCTTGGTATAGTCCAAGGGATGTGGGGTGTGGTAACTTTTAAGTATGAATTTCGAAATGCGTCCTAGGCCGTTTCAACTGAGGACTCTAGGTCTATTGTCCAATCTACTAACGATGCTGAGTGCATGGTATCCGGTATATTTGCTTTCCAGACGTTAGGTCTGGATTGGGCTGACGCGTGCTCGTGACTGACAGTTATATGCAAGTCGAAAATTAAAACTGCGTGATCACTTTTACCTAGGGGTGGCATGTAATGAAGGTTCGACACTTCATCCTCATAGTGAGTGAGTATCATGTCTAGTAAGGATGATTCAGTGTCCGGGTCGTACCTAGTCGCTTCTTTCACATGTCGTACAAGAGCACATATGATAACCGCATCAACTAGTTCCTGATCGAAGGAATTTTCTGACGATTCATTTGGCAGATTTTCCCAGTCTACCATAGGTGCATTAAAGTCCCCTAGGATTAGACATCGACCACTTTGTGACCAAGTATTGAAACTGCTCAGCAGGACTTCATCTACCTCACAGCTTGGACTACGATAGACCAAACCCATCAGCAGCTCTTGTGCCTTGCATTTCAAGCGGAGACTAACTAATTCACACGTCCCACTCTCATGGGATACACTGTGGATAATGGCAAATGGGATAGCATTCCTAATGAATAGAGCTACTCCCCCTCTTTTACGCTTTTGTATTTTGTCGGCCCTGACTAACGTAAAACCCTCGAAATCAAGTTCCATACTATCTATAGCCTGTGTCAGCCAGGTTTCTTTAGCTGCGATTATGTCTGGCTTTGTAGAGTCAATCTGTACACCTAGTTCCGATCGCTTATTAAGTAAGCTCCGGGAATTAGTGTAGCTGATCCGAAGCCTATTTAAGTGGCTTCGTGCTTCACCTAGAGTGGCTTCGGGATCATTCTTTGTCGAAGCCTTACAACTCGAAAATTTACAATTTTTAGGTCCTTTTCGCCAGCGTATAACCTAATGTCATGCTCAAAACGAGCTTTTGGTTCAGAGCTCTCACTATCCTCAATCCTATGAAAAATAACTGATCTGTCGCTGTGATCAGCTTTCGATTTTTTGACTACTTTTACGGGGGCAGGATTCCCTTTTATATCGCTACGTTGTTTCTTCCTTACAACCTATACCCATTCGTCAACGGTGCTATGAGAAGCAACAACCGTTGCGTTAAACCTACTGTTGGATTCCGGAGGGTTGTCGACGACCTGGGAGGTCAGGTTATGTTTCTCGCTAGAAACCGATCGAGCCTAGCGATTGCGGCTTCTAGGCATTTCCTGCTGGATGCCATTTGGAAGACGGGGAATGGAAGAACCTACTTTTCTTGAGTTTTTGTTTAAGACAGACCTCTTTGGAGACTGTTTTTCCTTCTTTGATCGGTGTGAGTCACCTATTTTTGAACTCACCTGAGTTTACTTCATATTAATTTGCGTGTCGACAGAGCGAGTGCTGTTTGATGTGTCCCGACTACGCTTGCTATAACACTTTTTCGCAGCATCTAGCAGTGCGATGGCCTCGGTCAACAAGCTGCTTTCATTCAAACAGCACTGTTCGCAAAGCCAAACGCAACCCTTTTTACTGAACCCTTTAGAAAGCCGCAGGCGTTAAATCCGAGCAAACTTCGTGGTACCAGCCTTCGCACTAATCGCACTGCATTCCGCTTTCAACGGGATAACGACAAATTGGACGTTGGCAACTGCTTTTATTGCACTGTCCGGTCATTAAAAGGGATCTTTTTCAGAAAAACAGCGAGATGCAATAATGCTCAGAGACAAAAAAGGTCTATGACCAAAAAAAGTGGTGAACTGTAGATTGTTAGGTCTAAAAGTACTAACAGATACAGTAGAAAATAAGGTGCTCAAGAGTACCGACAATAAACTAATTCAGAAACAGTAAACGATACTCTAGTCGAATACTTTAGCTGAAAGAAATTCAATTGAAGTGAAAACAGTAGTCTTGATACGCATTAAACGATCAAAACAAAATATACTCAGCGAGGAAAAACACCACTGTCCTTTTTAATTAGCACGCCAAATGTGTATTGTCAAATCGTATCTCCTCATTCTCGTAGCTGTTCAACGGGTCCTTCCGGTCTCGCACTTTTTCCAGACATCCCATGTGTCTATAATAATCGTTCCTTTGGTCATTAAAAGGATCATCAGCCTCAAGACTTCCAAAGAATCTTGGCTTTAATCCTGAGGTGTCATATATCTTCCTCCAATCTCAGGGCAGATTCTAATTGGTTTAAATTGTTTGTTCTGGTTAGCATTTTCTAGCAAGATTGTTTTCTACGAGATGAAGTTGTCGGCTCCATGTCAATACTCCTTCTTCACCCGGGCTGGGGACTGGCATCAGCCCTAGAAGAACTACAGGCGGAGTTAAAGTGTTTAAATTACTTCGTAATAAATTTGCATATGATATGCCACAATGTTTCTAGTCCTACAAAGCAGAGGACTAACGAGGACACTCTAAACCAGTTCACAGGATCAAGAAAAATTACTTGTCAGCTGAGTACCAAATTTCCCATCAGGCCACCAACGGACGGAATTCCTTACTTCAAGATGTGTCTAAAGCTTCATCTGTTGACGTTTTCAAAAGGAAGTTGAATCAACCGAGAGATTAACATAGGCCACCCAGCCTTCTGTCCTCTTCAAACTGAAACTGATAATAGCCGTCAAATAGTTACCGGGAATTGAACTTCGAGCTACAGCAATTTGATTGAGAAGCTACCATCGTAGGTCAGTAAATTCTTTTACATGGCTACTGAGCGTTCCTGGAAGCCTCTAAGTCTTTTTTACGTAGAATATCCTGAAGGTAAGAAGATATTTGTTTTCGTACGTACTTCAAGCTGATGCTTTCGGAAAGCTACTGGCGTATTCCAGTATGGTGCCAATATTTATAATTTTCAGCATCATAACCCTTATTATGTCGAGAAGAGATTTGCATACGGTATTATCAGTTGTAGAATTCGCAACTAGATTTCAAGATATTTTATTTTTGTGGTTGCCTGATCAATGAGTTGAGTAATTATTTTCTCAAATACATCATTAAGCAGCCAAGGCCTTTCCCAACCAGTTTGTTCATAAATAATGTTGACAAATCTTTGTACATATAGTTCACCTAGGTATTAAGTCATCAGGTATGCCTTCAAACCACGCGCAATTCATGGGCTTTTTCTGTGTTTACATTGGATTTTTCCTATTCATAAGGTTAGTGAAGCCTTTGCTTATTCGATTATTTAGGCTCAGTCAGCGATCCTTCAGTCGCCAGTTCACAACATTTGTTTACTTAGTCTGTGCATCAGTTACTGCAGTAGTTTGCTATAGCAGGTACCTAGAGTTTTTAATTATTTCAAGGGTTTATTTATTGTATCATACTTCTACTCAAGTTTTAGTTGGGATCATAATAGGTGGAATTTTCGGGATGATCTGGTTCCTAATTGTTCAGTATGCGATAACACCAATATTTCCGCGGTTCACTGATAGGTAGGTTTTAATTTAATACCAATGTTTTCGAAAACAGTTTCCCAGACCTAATTTTTTTAGACAAACAGTGCACAGTCATTCTCGAAAGGATCAAAGGGCAAAAGTTTGTACGCTTAGTCTTTAGAAAACGTTTTGACTTAGCACATCGTGCAGTAGTTTTGCATTTTAACCTGTAGTTCAGTAACTCAATACAATCCTTGTGCTTAGAAAATTCGAATAACTCTAAGACCACTACACATTTCGTTGGTTAGTATGTTTTGAATGAGATCTTTGGGTGGTATATATATATATATATATATATATATATATATATATATGCATTGCCGCATTTAAGTTTGGAAATCGTAATAATTCATTTTGATACATGGCCTATAGGTGCTTAATAACATGAATCACGTTCACATCGAAGTTAAGAGTTACATTCGGCATAAAGATCTTGCAGAATATCTTTTTGGTGAAATCGTTCACTAAGCAAAATGGTTCAAAAACTTTCGCATTGGCACAGACACATTCACTCTTTGTTGTCGCTTAGATTTTTCGTTCTGTGACTTCAGTTAGTCATATGCAACATAGAACTTGACATATATGCACATTGGTTCAAGTCGCTATACCATTTTATAACATCCTGCCTTTACGTTCTCGATCCATATTGTCTACCTCTAATATTTTTTACTGTTACTATTTTAAGATTTGTATTAGTGATGTTGTCTCGCTACACTGACGTGGTGTAGGAACATAAAATAATGCAAATGTATGCCAGGTTCAGTGTTGTTTATGAATGAAAGGGACACAACACAATAGTGTTCTAGCATAAAGAGGTTACAAATGGAACAGAATGTCTTACCAAATATTACAAATTAGACTATGCTATAAATGAACTAGTTGGCTTTCCTAATTTCCAGGCCCCGTTTTAGTATAATTGTTGGTTGGCCAAATATTGGTTCACAACAAAGACAACATAGGGATGCGTGAATGCATTTGTCTAAGTTGTCACACTTTGCAAAAGTACAGAAATTACACAGGCAACTGAGCCATCCAAACGCAACGTAGAACCTGGTACGCGTGTACACCAGTTCAAGTTGTCATATCCAATCAACGTAGATGAAATTGTTAACGCGAACCCTAAAGGTAAAGGTAGTAAGTGCTAAATGTAATGGAGAAGATAATGCATCCAAGATGCGATTTGAGGAAACATCGATCAGTGTAATAAAAAAAAATCATGAGGAATTTAGAAACTTAGGATCTAAGGGGAGATAAATAGTGGATGTTCCTGCGCCATCACGAATGACTTAAGCCATGCCATCCAAAGTCTACAACCGCTGGTTAAGATAATTATGCGGACCCCAACCAGATGGTTCTTACCAACCTAGATGGCTCAGTCCAATTGTCAATAGCCTCATGGTCTTGGTTTAGCTATCCATAGCTTTCTTCCAACCTACTCTTACACCAGACATCGCTCGTCAAGGTTAGTGGTGGTTGAACATACATCTTACAACCACTTCCGTTGATGAATACTTACCCACTCACCGCTTGACTTGCCATGTTTACTTAATTACCTATTCCTAACCCAAACATAAGCATTACTTACTCAATGGTTCAAAAATAACCAAGTGATGCCACGAAGACACCTATGATCGAATACTGGTAACTTTAACGACAAACTACTTACTGTATTCTTTAGAAGCTAATTATTTGCTCATGTTGACGACCAAGTTTATATTTTGTTTATTAAGATCTGGCAAAATGGTGACAACTTAGTTTCCCAGGTTATTTTCCTGTTCTATTTACTTTGACTGTTACTACAGTGTCCTTAAAACGGCGAGAAACTTGGTACAGTTGGGCACTTACAAGATCTTCAATGGAAATGAAATCATGACAGGTTGGAGAAGTATAAATTAATTATGTAATAAGGGATACTGTATAATGATATATTTAGAACTTGACACAAACCAAAAAGACTTCTTGATCAGTTTATATTTAAGTTAGTCAAGTACTTTGCTCTGAGTTACTGGTCAAACTGAGACTGAAGTGTGTATGGGAAGCATATAACATAACTGCAAAGTTGTAGGGAATCAAATATAATGGGTCATTTAGACGGCGTATTATCATTCCTACTTATAAATCCGATCTGAGTTCTGAACCACAGACTGTATAATAGCACCAACTCAAAACATTACCTAGATAGGTTTTTTTTAACCAAGAACGTTTGTATTTTATGAGGAATTCCTTAGGGATGTCTCTGGATTAAAAAATAGCATCCTGACGTACGAACCCTGTGACCTTTAGGAGACATACCAGTATGCTGTGATGAAGGAAAAAACTTTTTCACTTCACGGTATCATATCATAAACCGACCATGACCCCGCTTTTTGCACAGTGTGTTAGTGTTGGCAATCAATATTCCATATGAGACAACCTTAAATTGAGTAAAGTGTAAGTTTCTGTAGCGGATCGGCAATTAAATTGATTGTTCTTATAGGTTAAGAATATCACATTACGGAAAGGTTTTCTACGTTATTCTGATAACTTTGTTTGTTTGTTTTGTAGTTGGATTGGTCAATTATTAATGTTGCAAGACTTTACACATATCAACAATCTTATGCATTTTGAATATACTATTGTGCAGAATTACATTCAGTAAGCAAACAGTTTTGATATAAATGTGTGTCGCTAGCAACAAATGCTTACTATTTTTGGGCATTTGTATTCATATACTTGACTTTGGATGAGTAAATTACTTATCTGATGAATCATGTCACAGGCTATGGACGGATTCAAGAAGTTTTAGGAGATTTGAATGGAGAGTTTGGCGTTTGCCAAAGTAGACACTACTGACCGAACTTCATGTAGGTGAAATGTTATATGGTCACTGAGGCATTATTTGGGAATTACAATTCCATACAGTGAAGACTGGTCTCGAAGCAAACAAACTCATTGTTGTCCCTTAGACGTGCCGGTAATACTTCGTGTAGACTCTCATCCTGAATTTCTGTTAAGATATATAAACATATGTCTTATATTGTCATTCTTAATTTGTATAAAGAAAGAGTGATAAAGGTTCACAATAATTACCGTACTAACAAAGAAATACTACGTTAGGTGATTTTGACAAATCTTAGTAAACTGTGACCAATGTTGATTATTGTCTTAAATTTTTTTCTGAAAATATCCGTATGAATATATAATGACCTTCTCTTAATTTCAGTAGGACGAAATCCGAAAGGCCCACGTGAAGAATATAGCGTTTTTTTCATTTATGAACTATTTTTGCGACCAGTTTTTTTCTAATAAACAACTTATTAGCATTTCTCGTTTTCCTTATATTGTGCGTAACGTCCTGTTATCTACTAGCGCAATCTTGTCATTTTGCAGACCCTCAAAACTTCAGTTGAAGAGAAAAGATATCATTGTTACAAAAGATACATGTACAAGTACTTGGATCCACTGAATAATGTTACATATAGAACCACACTGTAGAACCAATAAACAAGTCTTCATCTGTATGTTCATGGATGTTCTAATTCTTCTGGACGTATCGGCCTCGTCATTGGTATGACAGATCGTTTAAGCACATCCGCTGAAAGTGCTTTTCTCATATCTAAGAAAATTGAGCAGATAACTTAAAACATTGTTTTTGAATTGTATGTAGTATACGTTATATTTAATATTAGATCTGCATTGTTTCCCAAAGTAAGAAATAATGGAACTGATAGTTCCACTTAGTATAGTACAGAAGTAAATGAGTGAACAAATATAAATGATGTAAATAAGTAACGAAAACTTACTCAAACTTAAATGAATGTTCACAAACACCAAACAGTTATGTAAAGTTGGTTAATAATTTGCTTTAAAGTGGACATTTAGTGGAAAGGGTAACTCAAAAACTTAACATTCAGGAGTTGGACAATCCAATCTTATTGGACAGGCACACTAAATTTGAGACCGATTAAAAGCGCAAAATTCTAGATTCGAATTGATATGTGCTTGGCTGAGTAATCCTGAAATCTTAATTTTAACAGTGTGAGGAAGTTGCCGATTATCCCAGAAATTATTTCATAAACCAAAACAGCATCGAGTTTTCCAGAATTTCTGAGGTGCATATCTGTGAGCGTCTAGTTTTACATCTAAAAAATGAGACTTGTCAGTCAGTCACACAACATAGGACACGGCACATCTGCATCGGTTCAAGTTGCCACAACACATCAGCATAATTAGATCTCTGAGTAGTGTAGGTATTGGTGGTAGTTAAGAAATATGGATTTGTGGGATGATGAACTTGGTATCTGATATAAGATAAAGACTAGATGTACCTGTCACTGAGCTATGCCATCTAAAGACTAGCCCCATATATATTTCTAACCGCTTATTCTTGCTAAAATGATGAAAAGATACCCCTGTATATTCGAATGGCTTTGTGAACATCCATTCAGTTATTCAAATTGCAATTAGGAAACTTTAGTTGCTGAAGACAGATGCTTAAAGGTTCGCCGCTAGTGAAACTACTTTTGACAAGATGGTAACACAACCTATCATAATTCTATTCCACACTTTTTCTCCCATCTCAATCATTTCTTAAACAAATTTTTTTACTGCAATGGATATTATTAATTCCCCATCTTATTTTCTTGTTGTGTTGATGCAAGGTGTAAGAACCTGAGCCGACACATGTTTATAACTGATTAATTTGATCTGTACAGATCGAAGGTATGTTCAACTAGCGCCATAATATTTTGCCTTTTGGTTATCAAAAGTAAAACACAAGTGTGGATTTTTATTTAGAAATGGACTTGTAACCTTAATTGCTTATAGCGAAAACATATCCAAAGATACTTGATTATATGTATAACCTCCTCTAAGGTAAATAACAAGTTGTGCGGTAAAATTGAGAAAATTCATCTAGTACTATGACTATATTTTGGAATACTAGTTGAATTCTTGTCTCATTGATAAACGACAGGTGAATAACTTGAGCTAACTATCTAGTCATCTGACGCTTTATATACACAACTTTATGAAGAATCATAAATAGTTTGACACTTACCGAAAGCATCTTCATCTTCAACGGAACCCCAGTAGTAATTTAAGACTCTGCGGTATATAATATATCCCAATTTACTATAAATATCTATGCCCAGTTTGTTAGATGCACGTACGAATAGATCAACAAAGTAACATCGTTTCCTAAAGGAAAGAGAAGAATTGGGAGATTCAGTTTAATAGCGACGTAAAACTTATAGGAATGAGCCCTATGGCTTATTTATTATGAATCTTTGCACTAGTGCGATTGTTAGACGTTATAATAACTGTTTCGAGTATTATTCTTCTAAATTTATTTCCCCGCAATCTAGGAGCTATATTCATTCTTTAGTGCGATTGAATTTCAAAGCGGAGTTGTTCTCCTAGGTTTTTTGTTTGATATCACTGTTATCCGAGTCTTAAAGTAATCGACTCGCTTAGTGTGACCGTAAAACAGCATATTAAATGAAAACTTGAAGTTTCTCAATAATCTTTATATTTCGTAAAACCACACTGTAGTGGCAAGTCTGAGTGGTAGCACATTATATACATAGAGTTAAATTTCTAGGTTGGAAGCCAACACTCTACTGTGTGATATCGAGTCAGATAGTTCCTTAAACATAAATAAAACCTTCAAACTCGTGAGTAAGAAGTTAGATCCTCGTCATAGGAGAACAACCTTGGAGTAGGCTAGTTACAAAACAACTTTATCTCGCAGACTTGACCAGAGGTAATTTTTATCTAAATAAAAACTAGACTTCACGAATATAAGAGAAACCACCAGGAGCTCATACTTATCAAAACTAAGCAGATTTCTCCTATTATTTTTAGTTGGACAAGCTAAGTTAACAAGTTTTATTTCGAGTTCAGAATCCATAAGACAGTCTCAGTTTACAACTACAATAATGTTACTTTGTGGCGACTAGGCCACTCTATATGTAATGTGTGTTAATGTCTCTGGTTGAGAAATTTAAAATGTACTGAACAAAATTAATACACAGTCAACCTAGAATTTAATTTCCAATAATTGTTAAATGACAAGACGAAATTGTTAGGGTGGTCATTATAGGTTCACGGCAATGACTTATGAAGTGGATAGTTGTTCTCAACATATTGTTGCAACACGATCGTAATGAAAAGATTTCAATTATGTTCCGTAATGTAGCTAGAAAAACCATGGATTAGTCCTCTGTACACTTAGATCGTGAAGTCCTTTTATCATATTATTTGAACACATAAATATTGGTACAAGAAGGTACCAGATACATATGCGCCACACAAATCTCATTTGATCTGTGTGAGGGCTGTGATACTACCCGGGTGCCTAAGCCGGAGCAGGTGTTTTTCCTAGGGGGCCACACCCGGAGCCTTCGATCTAAAGGTCTGATCCACAATGCAGTGGAGCATCGTAAGGAGATGCAGTCCCATGGTAGCCGGTGACCAACGATTGGTTCATACGCCATTTGTTCCCTCAGGGTACTGAAGCCTGTGTGCGCCATTGGTTTAGAACCAGGGTTTTCCAACTCCCCTAGGTGAATCCTCTGTATCCACCAACCCGGTTAAAGCACCGAACATTCGCTTTTCGTCCTCTCGATTTCGTAAACAACACCCGCCATAAGAAGGCAGTGAGTAGGACATCCCTGGCAGGGGCTATATACGCGTGGCCATGTGAGAGCATTTCGAGAGGGAGAGCGGACTCTCCCCACTCTCGGCCTTACCAGGGCATTTGGGGGCCCTTTTATCACAATGTTCAATCACTGTAGAGCAGGCATCATGTAATGTATTTTTTAGTGTTGACTGAATTCCACCAATCAACTCTGCAATTTGACCGTCAGAATAAATAAGTTTTCCCATGTTGAGTACATAGTAATCTAGTGTATAAAATCAGATGCGATGCTTCAGTCTACTGTATCTTTTCTTTTAACACCACGCGCCTATACAACATGAAAGTTTCTAAATGTATACTGATTAGTAGACTGTTGTGTTACATAAAAAACTAGAAGGAACTTAAACAAAGGAGTCTGTTTTCTTAATAAAACACCAGGTTAGTAGCGACGTCTAGTTTATAACCAAGTAAATCCTTCACAGCCGTAAACTTTAGGTATACGTAATTTATTTAAAAAACCAGGGTATTAACGACAGCTTTTTCAGAAATATTTGGACCATACCAATTTTGAGATCCAGTTTATTTTCTAAACGTCCTTACCGTTCGGAAGTTTCTTCTAACTCTAGCATTAGTTGAGTAGCTAATCTCAAACGACGATACTCAGGAGCCACCGACAGCGCTGTGACATGACCATGCCAGTCCACTCCATGACCTTCTGACTTCGCCATCATATAGCCCATAAGTCGTTGACACGTAGACGGTATTGATAATACCTTGGGAGATGGGTTTTGTGAATCACCTGTGTGTGGAATATCCGAAAGACATGTCGAATTTCTTTCAAAACAGGTTAGTGTGGGTGATTCTAGAACTCGCATATACTCTGGCCATTTTGCCAAATAATGCAGATAAAATCCGATACTATACTGTTATTGCCATTAGAAGTGTAACAGTACCACTAAGTTAAAGAAAGTACAATTTCATAATGGTCTATCGAGTGTATTCTAAATAATATACAACTTAGAGGGAAAACAAGTTTTTTTTAGTTCGTTCGCTTGCCGCCTACTGGACACGAAGCACACGAGAGACACGATGTACATATTCTAAATCGTTAATAAACAATATAGTTTTACTCTAATGATAATTGTGTAAAATACAGCAACTAAGAGGCCCATTCAGAAATAGTTAGTGGTTACGGTCCAAGTGCTTTGATAATAATTGAGCTAAGTGAAGAAATTAGTTTCAATTATTCAACTTAAAGATTTTTCTATTTTAATTGTAATTTTAGTAAACCTTTATCCTTTTATGTAACAAAAGTCGTTTTTTAACACACTATAACTGCCCATAAACACCACTAACTTTTCAATGTAAACTAGGTTTCAAATGTGTCTTCCAAAAAACCTACTGTCCTCTGATTGGCAAATAATTTCTTGATTTCTAAGTACGTTAAAATTTCAAGATGACTTAATAACTTAGATATGGTTAAGGAGGAAGTAGTAGACTACACTGAGTTTACTGAGTCTTCCAAACACTGATATTTTTACTTTTTCAATTTGTGTGAGGAACCGTTTGAATCATGTTGAACTGTCTAATATGTAAATTACACATAGAAACAGTATTATTAACGTTTCCTATGCAAATTAATAAACAATGATATCAAGGAAACCACATAGTTCCAATAGTTCGGATTCTTGTTCATTAGAAGTTTGAGTCGTTACTTTTAAAAAGCAAATAAACGATCAGTATTATTTTAAGGTGTATAGTTAACTTATACTCGTTGAAGTGTGTTGAAAACGTTATCTGATGAATAATGCTGTTTCTCTGTATTCATAGAATACAAACCAGCGTTAGATTTCCGTTAGTATCTTATTCCTAGTGATATTATATTAGCTGGACAAATATATAAATACTTTCACATACACCTCAAATTCCACAAGATTCAGCAGACATATAACTAATATGCTAAAGGATACAGTTTCCGTATACATATCCAGATTACTAAAACAAAAGCAAAGAATATGGTTGAATATGTAGTACAAATATAATTTTAATAAACTAAGTAAGCAGTATACACAAAACGATTTATAACGTAAAATGGAGCCATATTCGTGCTTGTACAGTTTAGGCATAAACTTACTTTCAGCAGCTCTTAGAGAAACGCAGTACAGTTAGAACATGGCTTACAACTACCTAAGTTCGGTTTCCATATTTAGGTAAAATGAAACAAAAAGACACCACTCATAAGCCCAATACAGTACAACAAACCCTCAGTGTGGAATGACCTTGAAGAAAATAAACTGGCTTCTCAAGTTAATTAGCAATGCTAATTCTAAAACTTCTGCTACATATGGGAGAGTAATATCAAGGCTCATAGATTTTAATAGCTAGTAACTGGATCTTAACAGCTAAATACTTCATAGGTTGTATTTTCCATCAATAACTGATCTTACTAGTAGTAGGTTTATATTCAAAGAAAAAGCCTAATATTATAAAGGACACAGAATTTCTAGATTCTCTGATGACTTCTGCTGAAAACAAAGTATATTAAACTACTGTCAGAGGCAGCGTTATCCACTTTATTCGATATCATTTAGCCTTAATAAGATAATACTCTCTCATCTAAAATAATAAAAAACAGAAAAACGAAATCAATCTACAGCATATGTTAAGAGGTTTAATTGATTTGTAGCAGTTAGTCAGTCAGTAACAACGTAGAACTTCGTACGTACGTACATCAGTTCGAGTTGCCACACTTATTTATCACTAATAACTGGAAGTTTTCGTCATCAGGAATTTGAGTCTAACGTAATTCCAATCTAATTTACAAATATTATTGCGGAAGTCGTAACACTGAATCAATGTTTCCGCAGATAACATCGTATCTTTGCGTGGAAATACTATCAACGTATGTTTGTAAACCGAAATATCAGGTTTAGCCATGCTTGGTGTACAACAACATCACTCGACACTTACGTTATTCTAACCGAATTCTTTGTTGTTAAAATATATTTCAAAGATCCTTTCGTGTATCAGACACAAGAAGTGTTGACCAGTTCGTTACATCACCAAGTGAGTTAAAGTTTTGAACTCCACAAAACTAGTGTCAAAATTCGTAAATAACCAGTGAGTCAAAACAGGATGTAATCACTTTAACAGATAGGTTTTCCTAACCAATGATAAAATCTGCAATATCGAAGGATGAAGCACTCATTATTGTAGTGCAATTTGTAGACGTCCCTTACAGTACCAGACACTTTGTTCCCGAATGCCCTGGTACGGCTTAGGATGCGGAGTCCGCTCTTCTTTTTAAAATGCCCCCACACAACATGTATACAGTCACTGCCAGGGAAGTCCTACTCACCGCCCTGTCACGGTTAAGAAACGAAGAATAAGAGCTGACAATTTGGTTATCAGGCTACATCGTAACTAAGATTAGTAGAAAATAAACTAATGACTATCCGTACAGACGAAACAACTGACTTACAGGTGTGTCCATAAGTGTGAGAGTCAAGAATAACTAACAAATAGTTGACGAACACACAAAAGGTCAAGCACAACAATTAATGGTTTTACTGTACTCTAAAGTCATATTTAAAGGTCACGTAAAACAAAACTAAAGTATAATCAGGCAAAAACTTACATATTCCCAAACTTCAACAAGTCTAAGCAAGTAAATGGCCTCACGGTTACCATACTGCAATCGATTTTCTCTCCGACTCGATTACAAAAGAATATGTCTAGCAATTCACAAACAGGTTGCATATAACTGAAGTCACAATACATCAAATGAGGGTAAGGTTGTTATGTATACATCTATACTAAACCAAAAAATATCAGCTCTAATAGAGGGTGAAAAATACTTTCCGCAGCAGAATATTACTGTCTTCAAAGGTTATTCTTTATGATAGTAGGGTCACAGTTTAAACATGTAGACCTGAGGAAGTAAAATATATGTGGTTATGTAGAATTTGAGTATGTTTGGCCCTTTCGAACTTGTAAATTTCTTGATGAAAAATTACTATTTTGATTTCATATGACTAATAATTGACTTAGCTCTTTATACTTTTCTAATCTACTTCTCGTATATCTACTACTTATTGAGATTTATTGCACAAATAAAACAATATACTAGAATCAGGAAACATCCTCAGACTATTTTAATGCTGGCAGACATTACTGTTACACTGTAAATGATGTAGTTTAGTATTATCACTCAACCATTCAAAACTTCTGAGACTAAAAAATACCACCAATAATTTAACTTATAAGGCCGAATAAAGGCATCTGGTTAGTAACCACCTCCCGCTCATTTTTTTCATTTATCGTAGGTAACACCTTCATATGCCAGCAAATAGGGAAGCGTACAGTACAGCAGTCTCAACTATATTACTGAACGGTTGTCTTAATGGGCTATAAAAGTAGAAGATATGCGTAGGCTGAGAGTATTTCATCATAAGTATCTCTTAAGTATTGCTCACACTACAATAAATGAGTGGTTAATCTTTAGCTAATATATGCACAGCACCAGGCGAAACGTGAAATTACATTTATGAGGTTAAAAACCTTCAATGGAGGTGGTTATGATGAATACTACGCATTCCTAAGTATTTCTTATACCGATATGCAACTTTGGGTGATATATGTTGGTAAAAAACTAGCACGAAAAATCAAGATGTGAGATTTGCCCATAAAATTCCAGATTAATCGCAATGACCATTCCGAAAAGCAGACTTTTTGGTACAGATCGGTTCAACACTTGTAATAAATGGTCGCAGATGTTGAATAATATGGAATGCAATCGGTCACTGTGGCTAAGCGGTATTTGGTCCTTACGTCCCGCCAAATCTTCGACATAGTACTATTTCTAAATTTTTAATTTACGAACCCATTTATTTGTGCCGTATTTCTCATGTTTACATTCCAATGTTTTTCGACATTTCAAACCTCATGCTTGTAGTCTCGATGAATGCCTCTAAGACACATAAATTCTACTCAAATAATGACAGCTCTGGGAGGAAATTATCCAAGTTGTATGTATAATTTGCGACATGTTCTAGATAGCCTACGCTTAATGGGTGAGGCTATAACTTATGGACGAATCCATCATGTATAACATAACAGGTCTCAGATTTTGGCGCGAAATTCACTCATCCATCTGGGTAAATAGTGTTGGCATTTTAGCTGATGTTAGTTAGTGATGAAAATTCTAAATCTAATTTTTAACCTTAATCCTCAACTGTATATCATAATTCTAACTCCTCACACAGGTCAGTCAGTCAGTAACAACGTAGAACTTCGTACGTACGTACATCAGTTCGAGTTGCCACACCACATTAGCACAGAGATGCACTTGTCGATTTCAATCCCGTAGTGGTAGAGGTAATAAGAGTATAAGCAGTAATCGGGAAAATTAGGGTTTGGAGATGTTATTTGAAGAGTATAATACAATGAAATAAATTTGGGAAGCGAAAAAAGAGACAAGGAGGAATCAGAAGATTAAAATTTGGGAGAACACAAAGAGTGCATGCACCTGCGCCATTGCAAACGATTTTGAGCCATGTCATTCAGGGTCTCTAACCATCGGTTGCTGTCATCTCGCGGTCCCCAACCAGGTAATCTACACCTACCAACATGACTCAGTCCACTTGTCAGTGACTTCATGGACTTGTGCCATGTTTTGGTCTGGCCGCCCCTTGCTTTCTTCCAACCTACGCCTATACCACTGAACATCGTACGTTGAGGCGATGTCACACAGGTTCATAACCGGCGAGACTCTAATTTAGGGACGAGCCAATCAGAAGCGTTTGACCAATTTCAAGGTCACGGAGCCACGTTCAACACGCGATGCTGTAGCAGTATCAAAAACCATTACGTGTGACTTTACTAATGCAAGTTTGTTTTCCTTGTTTCAGGGCAACAGAAAGTGAACGTACTAGAAGAATAAGAACAAGCCTTGCGCAAGTTAAACCTGCGGAATAATGAGTAAAACCATCTACATGTCGACTCTTACAAAAAGATGTACTCTTTTTGGGGCATCGCATTACGGAAGATGGAATAGCAACGGATAAAGCAAAAACGAGCGCCATTATTAACTGGCCACAACCGAAATCTGCCGAGGATGTTCGCAGCTTCCTGGGGCTCGCTTCTTATTGCAGACGTTTCGTAAGCGATTTCGCATCCCTGGCAGCACCTTTACATCGCCTGACACATAAAGGACGAAAATTTTTGTGGACCACAGACTGCCAACACGCATTTAAGACTTTGAAGTCAGTTCTTGCTGCTCCGCCCATACCGGCTTTTCCGGACACTTCGGCTAAAGCGGGTGAGTTCATACTTGATACAGATGCTAGCTCATCAGCTATTGGAGCAGTCCTGTCTCAAATAGCACAAGACGGAAAGGAACGGGTCATAGCGTACGCTAGTCGGCGGCTAGATAAAAGAGAGACACGGTATTCTACGACGCACCAAGAGATGCTGGCTTTGGTAAAATTTTTGCAACATTTTCGTCACTATCTCTTAGGACGACCCTTTCGTGTACCACAGACCACCGTGCACTACAGTGGCTTCGTTCATTCCGTGAACCAGAAGGTCAGGTAGCGCGCTGGCAGCAGAGGTTGCAGGGATTTGATTTTACTTGCGAATACCGACCCGGAAGCCGACACACAAACGCCGATTCCCTATCTCGTATACCCTATTCTCCTGATACCATTAATGCCGTTCTTAGCACAGCCCCCGATATCAACTGGCCGTCGCTTCAAGCAGCAGACCCAGAGGCAACTACATGGCAATAATAAACCATCTATGACAGAGTTGAAGGATCATTCCTTGGCGACGCGCCGTCTGTGTGCCAAGTGAGGCAGTCTAAGATTGTATGAAGACACGTTATTTATAGTCAGCGAATCAAAACAGCCACTATTGATAGTACCACGTGTACAGGTTCAGAATATTATGGAGCAGGTACACCGAGAACTGGGGCACTCAGGAAAACGGAAGACTGAACATGCTATCTGCCAGAGGTTTTGGTAGCCATCCATCCATGAAGACGTTGCCGAATTCTGCAAAAATTGTAGCACGTGCTATGCTATCAAGTCACCCCGACAAATACCTCGTGCACCCTTAGTTCCAATGACGACAGAAGGTCCGCATCAGCGAGTTGGCATCGATATTATGGGGCCACTCACAACATCAAGGAACGGAAACCGTTATATCTTAGTTATGGTAGACTATTTCAGCAAATGGTGTGAAGCTGTTCCTATACCACAACAAGATGCCCTCACAGTCACTCGTGCTTTCATTGATCATTGGGTATCCCGGTACGGCGCTCCCCTTTCACTCCATTCTGACCAATGTTCAGCTTTTAAAAGTCATCTCGTCGCTCAGGTATGTCGATTATTAAGAATCCGAAAAACACACACTACCGCATATCATCCAGAAGGTAACGGCTAGGTGGAAAGAACCAACAGGACTATCAAAACTCTCTTACAGTCGTTTATCAATAAGTCGTCGACGGAATGTTGGGACGGCGAGACTCTAATTTAGGGACGAGCCAATGAGAAGCGTCTGAGTAATTTCAATTATTAGCCAATCAGAAGACAGTATAAAGTAAAAATATATTACAAGAAAGTAATGAATTACAGTGGATATTCTTCTTTTACATGACTAAAAAACTTGTTAAGGTTTGATAAAGGTTCAGAAGTTCTGAATTCATAATGCATACGGTATAGGAACTCGTCCATAGGGTTAGGGTGCTAACATGCGATTGGTTTACATCGGATTTAAGAGAAGAAGTGTTTATTGAGAGGCTAAAACCCCTGAATGCCCTGGTACGGCCGAGAGTGGGGAGAGTCCGCTCTCCCTCTCGAAATACTCTCACACGGCCACGCGTATATAGCCTCTGCCAGGGAAGTCCTACTCATTGCCTTCTCGTGGCGGGGGTGTTGTTTACGAAAATGAGAGGACGAAAAGCGAATGTCCGGCGCTTTAACCGGATTCCAAACCAATGGTGCACATGGGCTCCAGTATCCTGCGGGAACGAATGGCGTATGAACCAATCGTTGGTCACCGGCTACCATGGGACTGGATCTCCTTACGATGCTCCACTGCCTTGTGGGTTTGACCTTTAGGTCAAAGGCTCGGGGAGTGGCCCCCTAAGATAACCACCTGCTTCGGTTTGGGCACCCGGGCAGTATCACAGCCCACACACAAATGATGAACTCTATGTCCATGGAAATTACCTTTGTCGCTTTGAAAAACAATCAATTGATTGAAATTATGATCACTACAATTATTGTCATTATTAATACTAATATTATTATTACTACTATTATTGTCATTATTGTTATTATTATCATTATTATTATTATTTTCCACATTATTCACCTTCTTTTATACTTATACAGCGGCTCGTCTTTGGTGGAATTCCGACTGTATCTAAACGTTCTCGAGTCACTGTCCGGTTGAAAATTGTATGTTACCACCGAATACGAGGACTGAAGCAGATTTTCTGAAACCACGTGCATCATTCAAACTGGCTGCCTTCAACGTTCGCACATTTATGCAGGTCGGACAACAGATAGGGCTGGCTATGTCTTTGGAAAGTCTTCATATCGACGTGTGTTGTCTATCCGAGACCCGTATTCAAGACTCTGGCGAAGTACTACAAATTCGATCTCCATCTGTCACTTCGAAAAGCTTGTTTTACGTGCGTTTATCCGGGGACCCTGTGGCATCTTCGTCTGCTCTTGCTGGCGTTGGTGTCGCACTAAGCGCTAGAGCTGAGGCAGCACTAGTCGATTGGATCCCCATTAACAGTCGGTTATGTGCTGTTAGATTAGAAAGTTCCATCAAAGTGAGAAGAAATCGGCGTGAGAAACGATGTCTTTTCGTCATCTCCGCCTATGCCCCGACAGATTGCAGCCCGGATGCAATCAAGGA